CCATTGGATTAGACCTCGGGTAAATAACCGACCATTGGATTAGACCTCGGGTAAATAACCGACCATTGGATTAGACCTCGGGTAAATAACCGACCATTGGATTAGACCTCGGGTAAATAACCGACCATTGGATTAGACCTCGGGTAAATAACCGACCATTGGATTAGACCTCGGGTAAATAACCGACCATTGGATTATACCTCGGGTAAATAACCGAGCCGCAGGGTTTAAAGGCTTCAGAAAACTTTTGCATTAGCTTTTGCGCGTTTAAAAGACCACGAACATCCTTGAAAATCATAAGTCGTTAAACCATAGTCGTTAAATGTTTTTTACCCATGGCCTTTTAAGATCGTGGATAAAGACACTTAAAACTAAAATTAAAATACTATAAATATAAAACTTCTGTCGCGCTTTAGACCATGCAGTTATGTTAAGAGATGAAAGTAAGACATTTGAACAAGAATTAAAGTATTTTAATTTTAGTTTTAAGTGTCTTTTGGTTAGGATTTTGGCTGGACAATAAGTCAAGCTTTCGCTCCTTTTATGTCCTTATCTATTGTTTGAAGGAAAGGGTTGCTATTGTTCGCAAGACAAACGTTAGTAATCACCGGCGCGTAGCCAGCTCACCGAGCGCGGAATAACCCTTATCGCATTTGTGTCTGCAATGCAAAGGGTCCGCGGAGTTACAGTTTCAGGACGAGGCTATCGGGTCAACGTTTCTCGAGAAACACCAGAAACACTCCATGTCTGACAATATAATTCTGGAATCTGCGATTTTTTCTGCCGAGGAAAAGGTTAAAATTCTTAGTGATAGTTGTCCTGGCATCATGAAAGGAAGATTGAAAGAATGGCTGTCATTTCGGAAAGGAACGGGAACATTTTGTCGCGTTTGTTCATGACTACGGTTGTTTTTCCTTTGTCGGCCTTTTTGAGGTTTAACTCAGAGTCACGTTTCAAGGCGTTTGGCCAGAAGCAAATTATCTTTTGGCTTTGTAATTCTATTTCTGAAAGGTCACTTTTAACCTCTTCTAAATAGCTTTCAAGGGCTACTGATTTTTGTATTGGTGGTATCCATGTAGCCGGTTGACGTGGCAGGGATGGCTTTTTTATGTCCTCCCCTCGGAATATGTAAATCAGACGCATTCTCCTTGCGAACTGATCAAAGTCACACAATAGTTGTTGTCTGGTCTGTTTTTATTTTGTAGCGTGTGTTGGAATGAGTTTAAGCCCTTTTGCCAGTAAATTAATCTGGTCGTTTGTAAGTTCTTTATTTGAGAGGTGTTTTACGTGCGTTTTGTTCGCCTCTAGTTTGATAGTTGAACGTGTTTGGCAAGACCGCGGTTTCGATCTTAATCTTGTGGATCACGTCAGTTGCCGATTCACTGAATAGACTGTTGCACCCGTACGAAATACAATAGAGAGCTTTAGATTCGAGTACGAGAACGAGTACGAGTACGAGTTTACTAGCATGCTCACATTGCGCATGCGTAGTTCTCCGTGACACTGTCACGGGAGCGGGAAACTCGTCGTCCGCCGCTCGTCGACAACGAGATTTTGACCAGAAGTCGTCCTCCAGAGAACGAGTTTCGAAAGGTGAGTATTTTGTAGAAAT